GGGGGGGGGGGGCTAAACCCTTCGTCCAGGTTGAGCGGGCGCGCGCAAAGTTGGTTCCAACCAATAATTGCATTACACTACCTACAGGCTTCGGCTCGCAGAGGTAAGCATTCTCTAAGGCCAGGCCAAGACGTGGAACTGTCAGGTACACAAGCCTAAAAGCATACTCCTGCTCCCTGATATGAAAAGTGGTTTAGCAAACCAGACGCCTCTCACGCTGTTATGGGAAACGCCAACTTGAAATCAAAGTATGTCCTTTCACTTTTCGTCTGATTGTTTAACCAAACTTCTAGTAAAACGTACTCCCACTTCCCACTGCTGAAAACGCCAGACAACGCTTGTCCTACACTTACAGCAGTAGGACTAAATCTTGATTTTCGAGGGGTGTACCTACACCGATTTTTAATATCTCTCTCTGTCTCTCTGTCTCTCTCTCTCCTCCCTCAGGAGGAGTAAGTACTCTTCACTCATCCTGTCCATCACTGGGGATGATGTAATGACTACATTCACCAGCAGCAAGGGAATAAAAGGCCCGATTACCAAATTGGGATCAATTAAGGAGGGAACGGACATCGGGCCGCGCGCCGAAAAATGAGAACGTCGTAAATTATTTTCGACTGCGAAAGTAACATGGGGGCTGGAGCCCAGCCACCCGGCGCCACGCCCGGGCTTCTAATACTCCCCGCGCATTTCCCTGTTCGTTTAACGGCGATTTAACGACGTCCCTCTTCCTATATCATTATACACATCGCGCCAAAGGCAGCCAAAGGCCTGACCGGGCGGGAAAAGATATAATTAATGCTCGCGGCCAAGCGGCGTTATTTTTCGATCCGCCTTTTAATTTATTCATTCATTCGAGAGAAAGACAGAGATTTTTTCTTTCACCTTTCCGTAATCTGTGTCCATACTTCTTTTTCCCTTTTTTTTCGAAGGGAATTATGTGTGTTTTTCTGACAGTGATAGCATCAGCGGGGAGCGCGCCGGTTCCTGCTCGCATAAACTGCAACGTTTGTTCTTCAAATAATCAAAGACTGGACTGGACTTCGACAGCGTGAGTGTCGGCGAGTATAAGGTGGGACCCTGCCAAAGGTGTGACGCGGCACCAAATCGGCGCAGCTATCGCCACGCCGAGCCCATACCGCTGCAAATCACGCCTCGCTGCGGCAGTTCGTTTAATATTCTAGTCGAGGCCCTTTCCTAACCCCGACAAAGGTGCGCCGTGGCGAGGCGTCCGATGCTACTCACCCCGGGCTAGGGTACCCCAAAAAAAGGTCATGGTAAAAATTTCCGAGTGTTCATGTCGTATTCCGTGATGCCTCAAGAAAAAGGCCTCCTGTCAAAATCTGAGCGAAATTGGACAATATTTGACCCTCGCGAAGTCGGTTCAAAGTTTAACATAAGTTTCTTATGGGCGATCTTAAGAAAAACCACAAATATGGCCCAGGGCACAAAATATTTATTGTAGATCATAACTGTTGTCAGAAACGTAATCTACGCTAAAAACCGAGCTAGACGACATGCCGCTTGCCAGTGTACTACATCACGTTTCGAAGAAAATATTTTGATTTTTTGCCGAAAATCGTCATTTTTGGCTGTTTTTCGCTATTTTCACCCCTGTATGAAATAGGGACAAGGTGGACTACACTAACAAGCGGCATATCGTCTGGCTCAGTTTTTAGCGTAGATTACGATTCTGCCAACAGTTACGGTCTACAATAAATATTTTGAGCCCTGGGCCAAATTTGTGATTTTTTTTAAGATCGCCCATAAGAAACTTATGTTAAACTTTGAACCGACTTCGCGAGGGTCAAATATTGTCCAATTTCGCTCAGATTTTGACAGGAGGCCTTTTTCTTGAGGCATCACGGAATAAGACATGAACACTCGGAAATTTTTACCATGACCATTTTTTGGGGTACCCTAACCCCGGGCCCGGCCCGGGCCCCGAGACAACGTCGCCTGGACTGCAGTGTACGAGTACTTAAAAGCTAAAGATTTAGTGCACGTCAGGATGCGCTGGTAGACCCTGTTTTCAGGCATTTCAAATAATTCTATTCATTAATACACATGACAACAGCACTATGTCTTGTCCCACTTGTCAAAAAAAACCTGCTCTGTAAGGTAAGTACTACATATGTGCCATAATTCGTGTGAGAACAGTGCAAATCAAAAGCTTGATCGAAAGTATCAAAGCGAGCACAATCGTTCGCACATCATAGGCTGTACAAAAGTTTGCACCGTCCTGCACCCACGGCGCACAGCTGTGCGTGAAAAGGCTGGTTCCTCACGGTTTTTTCGAGAAATATGACAAGTAGTGCGACTACAGTACGTAATAGCATGTTGATTAGTGGACGGTCTTCACGTCCTCCTACAGTATTTCCAAGTGTCACTCGCCTTGGACAGCGTTGGACTGTATGACGGCGCCGGGTGCGAGGGGCGGAGGGACGTGCGAACCGTTGACTCACACTGACCGCATCATGCGCACCCGGGCCCCGGACGTCAGCCCCCCCCCCCCTCCCTCTTCCTTCACGAATCGCTTTTGCCGCGCCTGGCCGGGGCGGAATGCTGATGCGTCTCCTGATCGTGATTCGCTATTGGGGAAGGAGGGGTCGACTTTGAACATCCTGCTGCCCACCTCGTTAAAAGTTGTCGCAAAAACGGTTGTGCAACGTCACACTTACTAGCCCCCGCACTAAACGGCCACTGATAATATTCCACCAATAAAAACCCAAAAGCAATCGAATTTTTATCGCCTTTCTGGCTGGACGGGGCGCCTATTCGCGGCAGTTTCGGCAGCGAGTTTGCTGCATGCATATCTTATGCGGCAGGATGACCCCCCCCCCCTCTCCATTTGCGAAACCCGCGACGTCACGCTTTGTAAAGGAGGGAGCAGCGATCGGGGGAAAGGGTGGAGGAGAGAGGGGGGGGGGGGTGTTCGTAAACCAAACGACAGGGCGACGGGGCCGCTCGTCCATACGTATATATCACACGTGTGAGTCGTAGAGATACGGATGAAACACCAGCGACTTTAACGACGAGGACGCTCCTTCCCATCCATCCACCAGGCAGCTCCATGGCCGCCCACAAAAACATTCTAAAATTCAAATTCAGATTGAACCGGACGCGCCTCAACATACCGTGTGTCATACTTTTATACGTTTACCCCCTTCCGTTCAACTTTTTGAAGCAGTAGCAGCGCGCGTGCACCCCGTAAAACCACTCACTATATATTTTTAAAATGCCAACCACTGGGCGCCGCGCGCCCTTCCCCTTGGCCTGCTCCTGGCGTGGCGACATTTCTCAGAGGACGCCGGGGCTCTGCAGGATTAGTATCACTGGCGGACGTGTGGTGCAGACGGCAGAGGCAGCCAGACCTTCGAATTAGATAAACTGCCATCTATAATAAAATACCCCCCCCCCTCCCAACCCTCCGTCTCGTCCCGGCTCCGCGTCCACATCGCTAGGAGGCCAGGCCGCCGCTATATTCGGCTATATGAGAAATTCCGGTTGCGTTTTCGCTCGGAGGCGATCGTGCGGCCGCGTCCCTAGGGGGTCCGGGGCCGGCGCACTCTGTCACATTTGTCGCCGCGAGTCTTTTACGGCCTGAAGGCGGCCGGGGAAGGGGGTGAGGCGGCGGCGGCGGCGGCGGCGGCGGCGGCGGCGGCGGCGGCGGCGGCGGCGGCGGCGGCGGCGTCGGGGTTGAGGGGGAGCAGCTCCGCGCCACGCACGATGAGACGGCGGCGGCGGTGTGCGGACTCAGCCTGCCCGATGGAAAAAGAAACCGCGCTGCTCCGCGGCCAGGCCATGTGAGATAGCCGAGGGCAGGAGCGCGCGGCCAGCGCGGCCGCCGAGCCGTAGCAGTAGTGAGATAGCAGACCGGGAGCTGCAGCGGTCTGGACCAATCGAGACGAACCGCCGTCGTGCCGTACGTGAGAAGAGTCACTCATCTGGCTGCTAGACGTCCAGCGGGAGCGAGAGAGCCAAGAGCACAGAGAGAGGGACGGAGAGATGAGAATGAGGGGTGGGGGTGGCAAGGGGGTGAAGTATTAGGAGCGCAAATTTATCGCCCCGCTCCCCTCTCCCTCCTTCCGCGCCGCTCCCCACGGCCGTGGCGCGGGGCGTGCCGCCGCCTCCGACCACCACACTCTCTCACAGGTGCAGCAGCGGTCGTGCATGCGGCCGCAACAACGGCCCTAATGTGACGATGGCGTGCACGAGATGAAGGGCTCTGCGGACGCTGATTGGCCGATAGTTTGAGGCGCTGCCGCCACCGCCCGGCCACCTGTTCTGTAATTACCTCTTTGCAGCGATCACTCTTTTGATCGACGGGTTATAACGCGGGGCTTGCGGTCGATACGGGGCTGTGCGATGAGCGGCACATCCCCGCCGCCGCGCGCGGTCGATCTCGGCCCGTTTCGCTCGACTCTGAGAGATGGCAGATGGCTGAGAAATATGGCCGATTCTCTGCCATCGGGAATGACTGACTGGTGTTGCGGGACGCGCTCGCGGGTTTTTCTTTGCAGGGCCCCCTGATACGGTGAAGGATGGCTGCTGATTGCCGGTGACGGCTTTTGATGCCGGACGCGACCGTCTCGTTACCGGCAGGAGGGGTTGCGCATCATCTATTCATACGTGACACCGGAGGAGAGAGGAGAACCCCCGCTCATTTCGGTACACACTCGCGAAGTGGAATTACAAGAGATTTTTTGGTAAAATGGTAACTTCTGAATAACTGGACGACCTTAGCTCATCGTTTGCCAGGAGAACCCAAGGCAATGGTATCACAGTTTATTCAGACAGACAGAAAACAATCATAAAGGCACTTCATAACCTAACTCAAGGAGGTCCAGGGTTGTGTCCGAATTCTCGAACGTTTCGCCCCAGACGGAACAGACGGATTGCTCTGCGCCAGCGCCGCGCCAGCGCCGCGCCAGCGCCGCGCCAGCCGCTCTGGACAGCCAACCCCGGGACCTGACCTGAGCTGCCCTTCTCGCGATGTCCTCGCGAGTTTCCCCCGCTGCGGGGTAGCTCGCGAGTCACCCCCGTCGAGGGGATGTATATATCCTCGCGACTCGCGGCCTGTCATCTCGCGGGGCACTCGCGGTCGCGGTCCTCGCGGCGTCGCGAATGCTGGTAGCAGCCAAAACTGACCGGCGCGGCTCGCAACGGCCGCAGAGCTATCCGTCTGTTCCGTCTGGGGCGAAATGTTCGAGAATTCGGACACAACCCAGGACCAAACAGCACCACGGCCAATAGCGGCACGGTACGACAAAAATTGCTTTGCAAAACTCAATGTGAGCGAGAAAAGTGGAGGGATAGTGGACAAGCGGAAGCGACCTGGGACAAGACAGACCCATCTCCCGGGCAAGAGGGGAACCAAGGCATTAACGGTTGCCTACGCACTAGGCGGGCAGCAGCCACTACACCACAAGACCGGTCAAGGGGTAGATGAGGCTGCCTATGCGCCAGGCGTCTCCGTGTCAGTTTTGTTAGAAACAAAAAGTTACGGGAAACCGCAACAGTGGGAATCATAATTATTAGTAAGCGGTAAAGGGCGGCACAAAACCAGAGGTAGGGTTAGTTGTCATAACAAATGCAATTGCATTTTCTATAGAAATGTCTAAACTTTTTCCACATATCAGTTTCGACATGTGGTGCGTGACTTTGTTTTTACCACACGTTTGAGTGATTGCCACTTGTGGTTGTGATTGGAGGGAATGCCAGAGTCGCTTGAGGGGAGTGACTCGGACAACCACACACTACTACACCAGAGTGTTTCGGCCCCGAGTACTGCGCGCCCCGCCCCACCCGCCTCCCCGCCTCGCCCCTGCCCGGCCCCCGGGGGCTGGGGGTCCGCGGCCCAACCTACACCACACCACCATCGTCCCGATCTCTATCGAGCGCTGACGCCGGCCGGCCCGAGGCCCCCGGCCCGTGACCCAGGGGCACCCGTGGCGGGGCGAGGCGGGGCGAGGCGGGGCGGGGCGCGGCGGGGCGGGGCGGGGCGCGGCGCGGCGCTGGTACCTGGGGAGCCCCTTCATTAGTGCTGGCCGAGTGTCGATACATCAGCCTCCCAATTTTACACGCCGCAGCAACCAGTGGCGGGCCACATCATCATGGCCCGGGCACGAGGTGTGGTTGTAGTGTGAGTCGACTACACTGTCAGTCATGCCGTTGCTGGAGTTCGGTGGTCCATACAGGACTAAATTTCGTTAGTTGAATAGCAAGGATCAACCTGGCTAGGAATTTTCAGCCTGGCACCAAGCACAAGTATACACTTATATTATAATTTACAGGGGAAAGCTTATCCACGTTATTATTGGTTATTATTTGTTGACATTACCCCTCTCTCCCATGCCAACTATTAGTATAGATAGACTTTATTATAATATTTTTATTTTAGATTCTTTTTTCTGACAAGCATTGAAATTTTAACAATAAGTGGGGCTCGTAACCCATAGCTTAAGATCAGACATGAAAGCATTTAGGCGGATACTCCGCAAATACAGTCACTATATATCGAAACTACTTAAAAGTATGTCAAGTAGTTAAAATTAAAGACAGGAAATACTATCTACTATCTTATTTAAGTTAATGAAATCAAATCAACAAAACAGTTGATAGGCCTATTGGCAACATCAAAATCACAGCACAAATTTAGCGCAACTACACAACACGGAACAATACACTATAAAACAATAGACCCTATTCGGTCTCGGCTACGGGAGAAGAAAACAGGAATCCCGACCGGAACCAGTACCTTTATTCTGCCAAATCTTCGCGAGAAAACTTGCAAAGCTGCCATAAAAAATTATCAGAAACATTGTGGATGGTGCTTCTATCCACCAGAGCCATTGAAATGTTAAAATAGCGTGATTTTTTGTAACTGGTTCCGGTCGGGATTCCTGTTTTCTTCTCTTTGAGTCGAGACCGAATAGGGTCTATTAATAGAGACCAAGTGTGGCACACTGGGAAAAACATTACAAGTACCCAAGGGCCAAGGGATTTAGTAGAGGCGCGCGCGCCGCACTCACCACCTTTCAGTTCACAATCCTCCACACTTTCATACATTTGCCTTTGGTGGTGATGAAGAGTCTTGGGGACGGCCCAGATGCGGATGGGGCCGAGGGCGGACTTGGACGCAGAGGCGATTGGGTACGACGGCGACGTGCTGCTGCGACGCGAAGCCGCGGCGGCTTGGCGGCGGCGTCTAGCCTATCATGGCGATGTTGCCCCCGTCACTGAAGGCCCTGCAGTTCATAGAACCGTTAATATCAGGTAAATTAAATAATTGACCCAGCTCACAGCTGAGACCAGTACACATACCTTTCGCGCGATAGTTTGGGCCACATGGTTTGAGGTGAACGTTGAGGTTAGAAACAAAACCTCTCAGAGAGCGACGTCACCTTGGCTGTCGCTCACAGCTGACTGGCGCTCTCGGGCGGGACCGAACCGAGTCAGGGCTTGCTTCCAGCCGGGTTCCGGCAAAGCCCGGTGACGTCACGACCGAGTAGTATATGGCGTGATAGAAGGGTTGCCTGTGGTGAAGGCGCCGCGCTCTGGTCGCAAAACCGTCTGCAATCCTGACACAAACACACAGTCACAATCGTGTACGCTTCCAATGAAAATATTTTTGGCATTCGGGATTGATTGTTAAATTAATAAACACCTTACCTTTTTACTGGGACGTGCCCTATTGCCTTGCATTCCTACTCCCAGCACACCATGTGAAACGCCACGCTCTGTCGCCTATGGCCTGTCGGGGTGGCGACGCTTTGGACTGACTGGAATAAATGGCATATTGATGGCGCGCGCAACTGCACAGCGCGACTGACAGTGAATTACGCCGCAGGTCCGATAATGGAACGGACTACAGCGAAGGTGTGCGAAGGATGCACGTCATTTGAGCTGAATTCACTGGCAAAAAAAGAGACACAACACAAAAAGAAACCTCTGTTTGTTGTTAGTTTTAGATAATCTCGAAATGAAAATGAGAAATGAAGGTTTTCGTAGAAGAATTGAAGTCTAATAAATCAACTGGGGCAGATTTTAATGTAAGTCACGCATACGCCACTAGAATAGGTTTGCAGAACAATTGGAAACAGCGTCTCTACGCTATTTCCGGTTCGAGATCTTGACAGCGGGCAGCCACCAACACACACCCACACACACACACAAGCAGGCGCAAGATCGCAGTAAATCTGACCGGTGAGGCACAGTGCATCGCCATAGTGTAGTTCCTGGAGATGGCCATCTATTACGAAATAACCTTGGCCGTCAGATCGCTCATCTCGGCCGTGCTGCGCGCTCGCCGTGTACTTCCCCCTGGCCGGCCGGCCGGCCGGACCGAGTGTCCGCGCGCCAACCGTGAGGCCTACACCGGGCCTGCCGGGCCTGCCGGGCCTGCCGGCCGCGGGTCCCAGACGTACTTGAGGTGGTCGTGCCCGCGAGGCGTGCCGGGCTCAAAGAGATGGAGAAGCGATGACGGCGTAGAAACGGCAATTTTGTATTTCTTCTTCCACCTCCCTCCCTTTTCCCTCCCAACAATTCAGGCCATTTCTTGCTGATTGCAGGAGGACGGCGACGGCGGGTCCCGGCTGACGAGGGCCGCCGCCGCCGTGCCACTCCCAGGCCACTCCGCGCCACCTCCTGTCGTCATCAGGGGGGGACAACCAGCCAGCCCAACTGAGGGCCGAAGTGATTCGAGAGAGTCGCAACGCCTATTAGCAGTCGGACGTTGATAGCGCCTATTCGCAGAACTGAGGCGCGGCGCGCGTGTGTTGGCGAATAATCGCCCCTACAATCCGCCTCTTTTCTTTCCAGGATCATTTTCATCTCATCTTCTTTCCAGTCACATTATTTCTGTTGGACGCTGCTCTTTTCCCCACCTATCTGCCTGGCGCTCATCACCTGGGTGATACGACGCGACGCGCACATCACTTTGGTTTGCTAAACCGTCTCCTGCTATAGATTCCATTTCGCATGCGGAAGGAACAGCGAGGCATTTGAAATAAATAAGAAGTATCATTAAAAAAGGCAAAACTGCGATAAAAAATACATTGATTTGACAAAATTGGTTTTAGAGAAAAAGGTTATAAATTAGTATTAGTACACACAAATGGCATCTTTGTAGGTTTCCATAAAAATTGCAGCAAACGAGGACATTCATTATTTCAAACAATTTATCTCACTACTCCATTTCCAGGGCGAAACGACCGGCAAATTACAGATGTTACTATCGCGAGCGGCTGTAGTGCGTGCTGTTTCGGAAAGGCCAGGTGGTGGCCGCCTGCTTTTACCGAGGCGCGGGTTATTTTAAATATGCGACGCCGGCGCGATGAAAATTGCAGCGCCCCGCACCGAAAATTTTAATGGGTTCCGGCCGAAAACAAGACGACGTGGCGAGGCGGGGCACTTTAGTGCGCGGAGCTGGCGCAGCGCGGGGAGAGCACCTTGACTGGCGTCGTGCTCGTAGCTATAATTTTGTCGTTTTATAGTCGCGTCGGATAAAGCTTGGTCCTGCCTGGACAGCAGCAGGCGGCGACCGGGAATTGCAGCCCCTCCCCCCCCCTCCCTCCTCTCCCCCGCGAGCCGTGGAGAGAAGGGTAACCCACCTGACGGGGGCCCGAGCACTGCGGGGGATATAGAGGCAGAAGCAGAGGCGCGCGGCCCGCGGGGCGGGGCGGGCCAGGCACAGAAAACTGTCTACCCCAAGGCCTCGCTAGATTGTCTACGAACGTCCAAAGCCTTTAAAAGCGTCTGCCCCGGCCGCTGCTGCGGCCTCAGATACCGATCATCATTTGTGGGAGAGGGAACCATGCTGTTTAGGGGGGGCTTTGTCGGTTAATGGGCTTTCAGGGGGGGAGAGAATACCCTTCGTTAATCTGCCATCTCATTTCGGTGGGCTCGTGGTCGTGGTGTGATATTGTTTGCGCGTCGTTCTTTTAATTCGCAATCAAGGTTTCAAAAAATACTTTTCCACGGGAAAAGAGTGAGCGGCAGCAAAAAGGACTAATGACGCGGTATCGCAGCAAGGGTCGCGAGCTCACGTTTATAGTTTATTTCGGTTTATTTGTATGTTTTTAGTAAAAACGTTTGTGCCAAATCAAACCTACGTTACGTTTCTTACAAATTTGTCCGCAAAATTAGACAATTTCGCACAAAATGAATACACAGAAATGTTAACCTTGTGAAACATGTTAACCAATGTGACGTCACATGAATTAAATAACAGTGTAGCCAGAGGCGTGACCTTCAACCGATTCGCACGCTTTTCGCTTGGCAGTGTAGGGAAGTGGTGCCGCCACCTCACTCTTTGGCCCCTCTCTTATCCTGTGTTTCCCTCCCGGCTCCTCCAGTTTTGCGATCGCAGTTTAATTTGTTGCAAACGACCCACTGCGAAAAGAATATACGTATTAGAGCAGCAGACCTCCTTGTTTCGCTCTGACCGTTAATAAGACGAGCGAGCGGCCTGCTCGCCTTCTTTTTTTATTGTTTCAGTCTCTTTTAGCCTTTCTGCTTCTAATTACGGTGTGCGCGCGGACATGTTGCCGGATGTGAATCACACACACACACACACTCACACACACCTTGGTATAGAAAGTTACACAAGTGCACCAGATATAACGCGGCGTTGCTCTGGTTTATTGGCAAGTGTGGAGGAGTGCTGCTGCTCGTCGGCATTGATGCGGCGGGGTTGGGAGGGGTGGCGGGGGGAGGGAGGGAAGGGGGAGGTTGCTTCTTGCACACCGCGGAATCCATCCGCAAGCGGAGGAGCAGAGGGCGCGCGCGTCTCGTCTTCTAGCGCTGCTGCTCGGCGCGGCATTCCTGGGGAAAATGTAAGCGCGCGGGAGCGCCGCTATCTTAATCCAGGCACCAGCCGCTCTGCTTTTGCACAGCAAAAATCCAAGAGTTTTGCTCTCGGCCAAGCTGCTGTCTCCCCCCCCCCCCCCCCTTTACTCTCTCTACCCCTCGAGTCCACTCACGCACCGCCCACTTATCGGTCATTTCGCGAGCGCTCCCTCCACTTTCATCGCCAGAACTTCCCCCGAGCACTCGTTCGCGAACACACCACCCGCTCGGTTCCCACACCAACGACAGCACAGCACACCACCATACCGTATGCCTTCGGTCGAAAAACTAACGCTTCCTGTGAACCCAACAGACAACATGCCTTATTCCATACACTCGTCTCGTTGTCTCCATAATAGCAAGCAGCAGCAGCAGCAGCAGCAGCAGCAGCAGCAGCAGCAGCAGCAGCGTCTTCTTCATCTTGCTTCGGGGAGCTTCGTGTGGCCACACAGGAGCTCCCCTTGCTGCCCCGATGAGTCGCACCTCATTGAGAAACGGAGTCGGGGTCTCGCGAGGTCTCGAGGAGCCCCCTGCGCCCCTCGCCTTCCCCCCGGCCTCGGCGCGCCGTGTGCATTCGTTGTTTGCACCTTCATGCGGGAGGGCAGGTGTTCCGGGAAGGCGAGGCGAGGCGAGTGCGCCGCGCACCCCCATTGTGGACAGCACGGCGTCCGGGCGCGCAATACCGTACTGCTTTGCAGGAGTCCTAACTTTCATTGGAAATAATTCTTTGGCCAAGTTTGAAGTTTTTACACAAAACACGCGTGCATTATGGCACTGCGAAGGTGGGTAATGATAGAGACCCAAAAGAAACATTTCTTGAAAAAGTAAATTGCCTACCGCATTCTAGTAAATAGTCCACCATCACCACCATACCTTGACGAAAGGCAGCAGGTACTCGACTCTCGCATGAGAGAGTACCTTTTTTTCTTTTGGCAACGCGCAGTACAGCCGGATAGAAGTGTGAGATAGTGAGTGGTATAGGAGTTGGCTGGTGTGCATGTGTGCGAGTGAGCGAGCGACAAAATATAGTCTGTGCTGCTGCGACTGCGAGCGACGAGCTGGCCGATCAAACATTGACACACACATAAGCTCGGGGGATCCGCCGCACACGACACACACTCTTCATATCATCTCAAACTCATTCCGAGGAGCTGCGTTTGACAATGCTGCTGCTAGTTCGCACTATACTAGAGTCCTGCCGAGTCCTGCCGTCATGGCATGGCGTGGGTGTCGCACGTTGCGCGGCGTCATAGAAAAGCGCCCGACCAGGACGACAGAATTCCTGGCCATCAATAAGGCCTGCTGCTCGCCGGACGCCGGAACCTGCCATTTCATGGGGCCGTCATCCGGGTGACAAAAGCTGCTGGCCGCCGCGATGGCGCGGCTGAAAGGGCAGCTGCTGCCCGGAGGACTCCGGGACGTGCCGGACTCCCGAAAGGTCGCCTCGCCTGCTCCTCCCCCAGCCCGGAGCGCTAGTCCTCCGACCAGGCCACCGTCCGGTCAGTCGACCGGAGACCGGAGCAGCTAGCAAGCAGCCGCAGGCCAACCCCCTCCGGAGCAGTCCGGGAGAAGGACATCGGAGCCGAGCCGCACTCTGGGTGGCCGGGGAGCGTGCTGCGGCTCCGGGCGAGTCCGACCCGGACTGCTGTTCCACGTCGCTGGCCCCGCCTCTGAGGCTCCGGCACGGCCAGGCACTGCTGGGGGGCCAAGCCGCTTCTGGACTCCCGCCTGAAACACAAGAAAGGTGTGCGGCGTTTTTATTCCGAAATAAAATCCAAAAAGAAAAAATTCTAACGCTAACGCGTTAACGGCCCCCTTAGATTTTAATGTTAACTTTGGAATAATAATACTACAACGATTCATCACATTAGCTATTGATTTTGCTTACACAGCAGCAAAATATCTAGGAAAGTTATGTTGGTCAGAATAATTAAAGTGATCGACTAAAAATCTTCATTACATTGGTAGTTACTGATTTTGATGTACACTGCAGCCAAATATCTAGAAAACTTATGTTGATCAGATTTAATTAAATGATCTACTAAAAACATTTATACGTACGGTGGTAAATTTCCTGTACACTGAAAATTCTAAACAATTTGTCTATTAGAAATATTTCAAAGTTTAGTATGCTGATCGTTCGCCAAGCTAGCTTGCTCAAATGGCTCAAATGAACACCGCCATGACATTCACGACAAGGAACGTGAACGTTTTGAAAATATTACTAACACAGCGTCAGATAAGAGATCAGTGATAAGTGTTTCATATATTAAAAACACGTACACATTTAGACGTGTTCTATATTGTATGTTGACACTTACAATCTTAAATAAGGTAAAAACATAATATATATTTTCCGTTATAGGTTGGCTGCATCAGTATACTTTCCGCCCCTTTTCAAACGAAATTATTACAAGGCGGAACTACACTCCCAGGCAACAATCAAAGCCGTGGCTGGGGCGCTCAGCGGCCGCGTTCAAAACGGCGTCTGTGTTGTATCTTTATACACGGCGGCACGATAGTATTATTTAAACGCGACCACTATATCGACGCTAGGGCCAAATAATTTTTTGGATAGGGTTGTACAAAGCAACAGGCGATCGATTCCATTGGTTGAACTTTCCCGCGCAAATTTGTGATTGGCCGAAATTTACCTGGCTCGACTCGGCCTGCTGCTCAGCTCGTCATTTCCATGGAAACGCGTGGATGCAAACTCAAATTTCTCAAATTTCATCAGACAATTTAACATGAAACCTACCTCAAAAAATTTCTAATTTCTCGAAGTATTTTTGAGTAAAATTTTGTCCAAATCGCTTGGGCACGATTGGTTCTGCCATAAGGGGCCATCGTCAAGAATAGGAAAAATAAAAAACTTTCGGGCGAAAGCAATAGGCACCCCTAACGGGGGCCTAAAAAAACTTTCGGGCGAAAGCAATAGGCACCCCTAACGGGGGCCTAAAAAGAGGTGGGCTTTTCAGATGGATAAACTTGGAGAGACAAAAGCGGGGCTACGTGCAGCGGCGGCGGCGCGACGCGCTTTCATCGCCCGCTGATTAAGTACACTGCCAGAGAAAACGAAGAAATACGAATTGCTGGCTCGCTTTTACAAAGCACGCGAATGTCCTTCAGGGCAAAATCCTGGCGAACAGCAGAGGATTACAGCGACTTACTTTTACACATTCCTCATTCGCTACTACTTTATCGCAGGCTTGGAGCTGCTAGGCGGCACCAGAGACGGGCGAGCCGCAGATAGCCAACCACCTCCACCACCAGGCGCAAAGCTCAACCCGCTGAAAATTAGACACGTCCCGAGTGAGCCGGTGGCGTGAAGGCATGCGCCAACCTCGACTCTAACCTCCGGGCGAGGTAGTCAGTCGGTCGGGTCGCCGCCGCCGCCGCCGCCTGCGAATTGCAGGGGGCAAAAAGGGCTTCGCGCTGGAGATTATATTATTCCGTTCCTCATCCAGCCCTTCCCTCCGGGTCCCTCGCCTTCCCCGCGCGCTCCGCGGCCCGCCGCCGGGCGGGCTCGGGTATCCGCCGCGCGCTCTCCGTACGGGCAACATAATATTACGTACGTGCACCGCTCAAGTATGAAGTCGCGAAAAAAACGTCGCAACGTCTCGTCGTCATTTCAAGCAAAATTAATTTCACTGCGCCAGACTTTTAGTGGCTTTGACGACCCTTTCTTGGCATGTGACATTCGGCATATGATT